GGGGAGCAGGTTCTGGGGGACGGGGGCTGATTGATACTGCAGGTCAAACCTGCAGAAAGTGAGCTGGGCAAGTTCTAACACCTATTTTGTATGTTGTCTCTTGTCCAAAGCTTGCAAGTTTTGATCTCTGACACATGGATGCCTCAAAGTGTTCGAGGCCAGGTTGAATGGGGCTTGGAGCAACCTGGGATGGTGGAAGGTGTCCTTGCCCATGGCAGGGGGTTGGAAAAAGATAGTCTTGAAGGTCCTTTCCAATCCAAATCAATTCTATGATTCTAAGTTGTACTCCTGCTCTGACACATCTCTCCTGACTCTCTGGCTGTGCTGTTTTGCTGTGCTGCCTCCAAGGCAGTAAGTTATTGCCTTCCAGAAAAGTCTTCAAAACAGAGTGAATCATTTTCATACGACACGTGTTTTGTTTCCATGGTTATTAGAGCCAGGTTCACTTACATCCATCCTTTCTTGGCACAAAACATTTCTGTTGTCTTTTCAACTGGTGTATTTGTCTGGGCTCCTGCTACTGCTCCAAGATAAGAAATGTTTTCAAAGGAAAATATAAACAAGAGGTATGAAGTTCCCAGTTTAGAAACTAAGAGGGGTATAAAATCAACATGGTGTTCTTCAGAAAATGAGTTGGAAGGTTTGAGTCAGGCATAGTCCAGCTCATCATCTGAAGCTGTTGTTCCTGGCAATGGATAAATCTCAGCCCCCATTAAAAATGCCACTTTGATTGGTTGGTTTGAAACAAACACCCAACTCCTCAGGAGAAGACTCGGCCTCCAAAGCAGAAGTGGCAGATTCTGGTCTACAGCTGGTGCAGAGGAGTGGGAGGGAATCAAGGAGAAGGCTATTTCTCTCGTTCAATAAAAGCATTGCTGATTATACAGCTCTGCTTGGGCCTATTCCAGGTCCATTAAAGTAAATGGAAAATCTTTTCTTGACATAAACGGGAGCTGGCCCCAGCTCCAGGGATTAAACAGTGTACAGGTGGATCTTCACAGGGGAACAAATCATGATCCTGCTGAGCCAGTCCCTGATGAGTTTATTTTATATTCTTGTAATTTTCTGGCTTTATGTGTTTCATATGCTGCCTTGTGCTGTTTGCCTTGTGGTCACCTACAGTGGTCACAGTGGGCCTTGGCCAACTGTTGTGGTGTGTTTTCATTTTCTTTATTTGGTATATTTTACTGTTTGATTTGTGGGGTTTTTAATCTCTCTGTGTTTTTCTCCCCCTGCCTTTGGAGTGGCACAGGTTCCCCATTTTGTATCTTATGTTGCTAAATTTAGACTCACTCCCTTATTGTTATTCAGCTCGGTTAACTGTCAGTTCTTGTTTGTTGCCTGGCCACTCCCTGCTAAATTGTCAATCCCTCTTGTCCCTACCTTTTTTCCCCAAAACCTTCCCTGCTCCTCCCCTCCTCAGATGTCAATCCCTTCCTAAACCTGCCCTTCCCTCCAGAATCTTCTGTGTCAGTTTTGTATCCTTTGAAACCCCATTGGTTTATCTGAGCCTTTCCCCTCCCTTAAAATCTTCTATTGGTTTACAGATTGTATTTCACTGCCTTGTGTTCCACCCTCAGTCCTCCCGATTGGTCAAAAATTGTATCCTCCCCCAAGACCGTCCCTGTTTATAAGCTGGTGCCTGCCTTTGGTTCAGGGTCTTGGGACTTCAGATTTGGGGAGTTGTGTTGCCAGATAAAGCTACCCCTGTTCTGACCCCAGGACCTCTACTGCTGCCTCTTTGTTCATCTGCGCCGAACCTGTGCTAGCAGCTGGAATTGTGCAGGATCTGTGCAGGATCTGTCGCGCCCCTGTTGTCGTCACTGCCGGGCTGGGGGCACGTAGTCCCCGCACCGTGACAGCCAACTCAGGTTGGTGCCGAGCTCTTGAGGTACCAGCCGCAACACCCACGGGGACATGTGTGAGCTCTGCTCCAAAATGGAGGGGGTAACCACACAGCCCATCATAAGATGCCTGGACGCCTGCCTGTCATAACTTCTGGATGAGGTGATGTCTTTTTTGTGTTGAAGAAGGTCCTGGTTGGTAACAACCACTTGTCTGTGAGCAGCTTTCTCTGAGACACAGAGAGCTGGTAGCAGAGAGGGATCTTAGCTGGGCCTGGCAGCTCACCTGCTGTAGCACCTGGGAGGCTCTGCATAAATAGTAGATATTGAAGGGAGATGACACAGATGTAGAAGAATATAGCTGGGAAATGGCTTCTGTGAATGGAGCTGTAAAAGCAGCAGATCCAATTAGAGAAAATAGCTTTAAGTGCTTCTTGTTTTTCCCAGGGGAAGGCCTTTCTGCAGGTTTTTCTTCCTTCCTGCTTCCCCCTGTTTTCGTGCCCTTTATAGTCTTTATTTTTCCTCCTTCAGTTCAGAAGCCTTCCTTTCCCTTGACCCACTACAACCAGTGGAGCCAAAGTGAATTTTTCATTGTTCATCTTTCCGGTCTGAGGCTGGTGGCCAAACACACTCCGGAGATCAGGAAAGCCATCCTGAGGGCTCTGCCTCAGAGCATGTGGTGACTTCAGGAACACAGGAGGCATTTCCACAAGTTTCCAGCCTCCTAGGAGGAGCCCCAGATCAGGTATCTGTTCTCAGCAGTCTGCATGACCTGCTATGCCACACACTGAGCAATCAACAGCTCTGCACACGCAGTTGGTGCACAGGAGGAATCTCCTTGGAGAGATGTAAGCACTGGTGAGACGGGCTAGGAAACATCTGTGTGGCAACGAAGGGTGGTAACAGAGGTACCTCATGAAGCAAACCTCACTGCAGACATAGAAGAACATCATTAGAAGGTGTGAAGGACCTGCCTCAAGTCATGGAAATCTCTGGTGGTTGGTGCTCCAGAAAGAATTCCTGGAGCATCTGGTGGCACAGGGAAAGGCAAGCGCCCTTGCCTGGACAGCAAGGGGTCATGAGAAGAGAAAAAACCCCATCAGGATGTTATATTAAAAGCACATCTGTGCACAGTCTGGAATGGTAAATACATTTTCAGGCTCCCCTCATAAAGCTGCAGTGTTTAAAACTGCTGATAAAGTGCATTCCAGCGTCCTTGAAGTACTGCAGTGCGCCACACACACCACGCAGTGTTTATCCGGGATCGGTGCAGAGCGGCCGGAGATGAATGGGCTGTATGTGTGCAGGGCAGGGATTCATGGGTTGTCACCAGAAAATGGTGTCCAGCTGGCTTGTCCTGGCCCTAGAGACCCTGGGACACTGCATTTCACTGTGCCCAGAACAGGCTGGGAAGCTGCTGGCACAGCAGGAAGGGATCAAGCAGCTCTCAGCATCCCTCACCACTGCCCCATTTGTGTGGGACATAATAGGTCTGTATGCAGCCCCTAACAGCTGCCCTGCTTTTTAAGAGAGGAGTTCACAAATTCTGGGGCTGGTGCTGTTCTCTCTCCTGTGCCAGGTTTTTCTTGTAGGTTTATTGTCACTTGCCGTGCCACTGAATTCCTCTTAGGCTGCCCTTTCTATTCTGCCCTCTCCTTGTGCACTCATGAGCCTTGGATAGGGTTTTGCTGCTCTCAGAGGAGTTGTTTTCTCTCCCCTGGCTCACAGAGGAGCATCCGTTCTTCCCAGCATATAAGAAGACTATTAAGACTGCTTATTTAGTTCCTCAGAATAAGAGGGTCCTTTGAGAATGGTTTGGAATAGAAGTTTCAAAGCTCTGTTTGCAGCACAAAGCAGGAGGTGAAGATGGATGGTTTGGAAAGCAGCTGCAGAGCTGGGCCAACACCTTTCTGAGGCTTGGCTGTGCTCTGGCTTTAGTGGAAGCTGTGATCTATTACAAACTTCAAAAATTTGCAGTACAAGTTTTGGGAAAGGGCTGCTAAAGAGTTTATCATGTCAGACAATATTTCGGAATTGAAATGCCTTGGACCATGCAGTATTATGAAGCCTTTCTTGCTGCTGTTTGGGCTGTGATTGCCTAATTAAGCATCTTTACAATAAATTGGTTAAAATGACTGGATCTGAAGGGAAAGAAAGCAAGAGATCTTGGGAAGGAACTGCATTCTAGAAGGTGATTGTGTAGGAGAGAGGGAGAGGAGAAAGTTCCAGTCTAGAGGGGCAGCAGGAGGGATGGCTGAGGCTGGAGAGGGGGAAAGCTGCAGGGGAAATGGTGTAATGTCTTGGTCCTGCCTGAGCAGTGGTGAGGGAAGGAGTGACAGAGGAGATGAAGGTGGAATTGAGAGACAAACAGAAGCCAAAAAGAGACATTTCAGACACAGAAGACAGCCGGGACACAGCAGTTTCTTGTGACATAAGCTGCAAAAATGGCAGGCAAAACATTGAACGTCAGCATGCTTATGATGCCCAGTTTCCCAAGTCTGATGTAAGTGGATACAACTCCCCAGGAACTTGTAACTCTTCATGTCTTGCACCTCTGGAGCACACTTTCCTGGCTGCTGACATCTGTCATGCCACCTCACGCTCGTGGTGCCACCCCGCCACCTGCCCAAATTCACTCACACTTCTGCTCCTATGAAATGTATGAATCATAACTTCCACGGCTCTCTGCAAGATGGTGTTTCCAGAAATAGCATCCTGCAAGCCAAGAGCCGTGAGATTGCCCGTATGGTGGTGGAGGCCCAAAGAGAGGGAGGGCTGAGGGAGTGTAAGGAAAACAAACCACCCAACGGCGTGGCGGGAGGAAGGGAAGCACTGTGCAGGATCCAGTCCTTCACTGGGATTGTTCTTAGTTTGAAAGTTGAGACTATCAGAGTCCCAGTGCGGGATGAAGTTTGGAAATGGGTCCTCTATTGGTGAAACATTCTTTGCGCTACAAAAAGAGATTCACTAACACTTTAAACTGGGCTAATGAAGTGTTCCAGCTGAAGCACTGTGTGGTATTTTAATGGCACTTCGTGGAATCACAGAATGGTTTGGGCTGGAAGGGAACCTCAAGATCATCCACTTTCAACTCCCCTGACATGGGCAGGGGCCTTCCACTAGATCAAGTTGTTCCAAGCCCTGTCCAGCCTGGCCTTGAGCACTTCCAAGGAGGGACATCCAGAGCTTCTCTGGGCAACCTGTGCCAGGGCCTCAGCACCTTCACAGTAAAACCTGCAGCATTTCCTAATACAAATCCCTTTTCTCCCGGTGTTGGTTTCGCATTAGACTTCCCAGTAAGTACAGTATTCCTTTAACCAACTCTAACCCAATCAGATGTTTTATAAATGCATTTGTAATTGGAAATTATGTGAGGAGCATCTTCTGAGGTGTGGAATAGCCATTACAACTGTGCAGCTCATAATTTATTCCTAGTGCTGTGACTTCTTCCTCATCCACATGCTGTTGTTTATACTCCCTGGCCAAATCCTCTAACATGTGTTAAACTATTTCCATATGAATTCATCATAGCTGAGTCCTAATGCAAACTCTTATTTTTGGTAAATCAGTCTCACAGGTGCCCATTAGAAGCAGAGCTATGTTTATATGAATATTATCATGTATTAAAAAGGCCAGGGCCTTAGAGTAAATTTTGAGCTGCAGCTAAATCACAGCAGATTATCCCTCTAACCAGCTGCAATGAGTGTTTTGCTTAAAAATGGTTCCAGAGATATTGTTTTTGTGTTGCTTTGTTGTGAAGACAAAAGATGCTTTTTCACTGCATAAAGGAAATGTTATTTGGAGAAGTCATTCTGCTTTTCATAAGGTAAATACTTTGTAGGCTCTCTCATTTCAGTGGTTATATCCACTTTTCTAAGCAGGTCTTCACCTGATGCATGTCAGGAACACAGATGGATATAATTGTGCCCTATTTACTGACAAAATTTACTCTTCTCCTGACATATAAATGATGGTTTGGTATAGTACCACCAGGGATGGATTTAGCACATCAAATACACCTGCCAAAGCAGTGAGGGGGGAAAAAAAGAGGCAGGAAAAATGGAAAAGAGGTATGAAAGGCAATATTATTTTACTTTTAATAGCTGTTATTTAATTCTGCTCACTCCCCTCTCCTTTCTGCAGGCTTAAAAGCTGTTTTGTATGAAATCAGCCAGTGAAAGTTCCACATTTGCCAGATGTTCAGCTGAGTAAAACCCTCAGTAAAGATTTTTGGAAGGTCACTTCCTGGAGAACCAGCCTTTTCCCTGCCATCCAAATCGAGGTCTGGATTTGCTGAATCTTTTGATCAAACACTATCTGCAGTTTCTCTAAGTCAGTCCTGTGTAGGACAAGGAGCTGGACTTCAAATGAACCTCGTGGATCCCCCCCAGCTCAGGATATTCTGTGAGTGATGCACAGAGGAATGGAAGAACTGACCAGTCAGGGAGGCAGCGCCAGTAGAAGTTGCTCTCACTTAATCCCTGCCAGGTATTAATTAGTAGGCTACCATCACATCCATTTCATAAAATGGATTCGTAATAAACTGTGTGAGAGTCTCTTTAGAGAAGGTTTGTGGTCAGACTGAAATGTCGGGAATTTCCACAGCGTTTGCAAGTCTTTAGGAACAATGGGAAAGCAGGGGAAAAAGCCGATAAAAACTCTCCTGGCTGTCGCAGTTGTTATCGGGATGTTTCAGCTGGCAGGGAAGCCGGGTGGTCTGAAGAAACTGGGTAGGAACCTCTGCTGGGAGTTTCCCTCCTGCACAAAGCATGGAGGTTTGGCTTTTGTGGGTTTTGGTGTGAAATTAATTTTTTTTTTTTTTCCAGTGAGGTTGACCAAAGCCAGAATCACAGGATCACAGCACCTTAGAATGGTTTGAATTGGAAAGAACCTTAAAGATGACCTAGTTCCACCCCCCCTGCCATGGCAGCTGGCATTTAGTGGAGGAGTGTTAGCTCCATCCCAGTACTCTGTCAGACACAGCTCTGACCATCTGACTTAAAAGGACCTGGAAAACAGACTGGGAATGCCTGGGAGGAAATAGCTGTCCTGCAGAACCACAGATGCCAAAGCAAAATGTTAGCCCTACATGTGACAAAACCTGCTGCTCCCATGCCCTAGACAAAGGTGGGGAGAACATACAAACTGTGTCCTCATCAAACATTTAGAAATAAAAATACAACAACTTTGAAACCGCAGGAGACTTTTCCAGGTTATTCATCCTGTAGCAGTTTTGTTCCCAAAAGCTGAATGCCCGTGCTGGGCAGAGGGCCATCCTCCTAACTGGTATCAGTCAGCAACAGCTCCATTCACTCAGATGGACCACATTTAGCCCATCTGGACACTAATTTGTCTTTCTGACAAGACTTGAACGCTCACTTTGACGTGCTCAGGAGCTGAGGCTGCCAGCAGTTGTTTCTTTCCTTGGCAAACCTCTGCGGTGCTAACACAAGCACTTTTTTCCCCGTACAGCATGCACAGGCACCGCAGAAGGGCTCAGTTGCTGGTTGTAATGATCTCATGTATTTTTGGAGCTCAGCCTTTTACGAGGGTGGTGCCTGGGGTGCAGACAGATGGGCTCTGCCCACCTTTCCTCTGGATGCTTGAGGGATCTCCCAGGTCTTTCCCTACAGTGTAATTTTGAATCGTGTCTCTTTTATTTGTCTTTTTCACTCATTACCTGCTGTTCACCGTGGGGCTCCTCGGGGCTTTCTTGTTATAAATTTGATTTGGAAGTAGAAATTGGAAATAGAAATCAGTGGTTCTGCGATTACAACAAGGAGGGAATGTGTCCCAAAGGTTAGCTGGATGTGGTTTGACTCAGGCTCTTGATACAGAGCTAGAAATTGAAACCATTCTCTGTTGATGTCCCTTTGGATGTCTAGAAGAAAAAGACTACCTGGCCCTTTTCCTGGAGGTGAGGCTCATCAGGGAAGCAGCACATGTGCTGATGTCTGGCAAAATAAGCAGGCATTGCTAGCAAGGTGAGAGAGTGTTTTTATTGAGAAAATTTAAAGAAATATGGTTCTGTTCAATGTTAAATTGAAGGGAGAAAAGTTTTCTGTGTAATGAGATTGAGGCTGATACTAAAGATAACCTTAAATGTGGCCTGAAAACAAGTCAAATCCCTTGCCTCAGTTGTGAGTAAGGCAGTGAAGTGAATATTTAAGGCAAAACCAGGTAGGGGAGTGATAATGGGGCTGTGGGTGCCAAAATTACCACATTCATGAGAGGAGCCAATTTCAGACTTGAGTGCACTTGGGCTGGTGGCAAGGGGACAGAAACAAGGCAGGAAATCTCCATCCCAGAGCATGGAAAATGCACATTCAGGAGCAATGGTGGCTCTTCAGTGCATCAAACTGGGGAAGTGGATGAGGACTGAATGTACAGGAAAGACAGGTCTGTATATAAGGAGAGAAGGAAGCCCATTGCTGTGACCCCAATTACATGGATATAAATGAAAAATAAAGCATGAAGTTTAATAGAAAATTGGAGAGAATGCAGCTTGAGTCTAGCAAAGACAGGCTGTGATGTATAAACCTGATATCTTTGATAAAATAATGGATTTTTCTAGATGTAGATTAGATCTATGGCATTTCCTACCTGGATTCAGTGAAGTGAATATAGTGCCTTGTGAAAAATGGTGAGGTGAGCTGACAGGGGAAGAATAATACAAGAACTGGAGGTGAGGGGATATAAAAGTGTCTAAAAGGAAGAACCAGTGGATTTTGCTAAAAGGTGAGTTTTGGGTGGGGGGGGAGGTGTTGGGAAGAAATTGCTGGGGAAGTCCCTCAAGAGCTAGCCTTGAAATGAGGTCTAACTTGTTGTCAGTGAGCTTGTGACAGCTGGGACAGCACGAGTTGTCCCTGACACAAAGTCCTGGAGCATCTTCTGGGGAGAAGAGGGTGACTTCGTAGAGGGAAGGAAGAGTGCTGGGATGGGACAGCACGGCTGTAGAATCATGGAAGTTCCCAGTAAGAGGGCCCAGTTCAACCTGTTTGGATAGAAGCAGGAAAAGAGATGCCTGTGGGTATTAATACAGTTCTGAAATATTAGGAAGTCTGGTGTGAAAAAGAGATACCTGGAGCTCATAAGGGCAGAGGGCAATGAGATGATCTCGTTTGCTTGGCATGGAGCTGAGTTCAGACTGAGTGCATGGTGGGAAACAAAGCCAGGGACAGAAAGGGATGATGGAGTTAATAAAGGATGAGTGTCCACCTGGTCCACGGTAACTTGTCCCTTATAGTTCAGATGGGGCAATCACACCTGGGGCAATGCAGGGTGACCTTTATTCCAGATGGTCTTCAGGTACCAAAAGTAGCTGCAAAAAGGAAGGAAACAAGAAACCTGACCTGCAGCAAGCCTAAATGTTAGTCACAACTTTTAAAGTAAGGACTGCAAACTGGTGTGGTAGAACAGCGTGGAGGCTGTGGGGTGTCCGTCACTTGGGCTTCTTGGGTGCTGTTTACACCATGCCAGCTGTTCACCTTTGGAAAGCTGAAAATGTTCTCTGACAGAGCAGAACACCTGGGCTGGGCTGGGCTGAGGTGGATCTTTTCCATGGGGTTTTGTCATGGGACTTGCCCCAGCAATGGGGGCACTTTTTTTGGAAGGAATGGGTGCATCCTTTTTGAGCTGCCGCTTTCAGCAGCTGTAGTGCCAGAGTTGGCTGTAGATGCCAATAAGACTGAATAGTTTCAATTTTTATGCACCTCTTGGAAGACTTGGGCTACAGGAATTCATCTCTGTCCTCTAGTAAGAGCCTTCTGAGGGCTTTTCCATGATCCAGGCGAGGAAGGCAATGGATTCATCTGCCAGCTCCGGTTCTGTCATAGAGGCTTTCTTACATCAAAGGTATTTATTCCACGAGTTCTTCCTTTCCTGAGATGAATAGAATAAATTAAATGAGAATTTTTAAAGAGCCTTTCAAAAAACCTTTGTGTTTTTTGGTTTGTTGTTGTATTGTTTTCTAATTCTTTTTAAATAAAAGTCCTTGATGTAGCAGAAAAATAACACGTGATCTGGGCGCACTGGGGAAAACCAATCCCATGGTTCTTGTTGCTTGTCAGGAAGCCTGGATTGGTGATTCCTGCCAGTGTGGCATGCTTTCAGGCTTTCTCTGAGTGCACATTTTCCTCCCTGATTTAACAGTATTACTTAACACATACGTGACACTTTTCGTCTTAAAGGATGCTGGGGCACTTCACCACCTACATACAGCCCTGCCAAAGAGGCAGAAAATAGCAGGCACACTTGAGAGAGCACTTTGTGGTCCCACAGATCCTGACTGAGATCCCTCTGGTGCAGTGCACTCTCTGGGTGGAGTCTCACCTATGAAGAACAGAAGGCTGATGCAGGAAATGCAGTGTTAAAATAAAATGGAAACCTTAAAACCTTGCAGGTGGTCACTATTGAGCATTATCATGACCAAATAAAGTTTTGAAAGGTATGATGATTATTATAGTTAATAAAGAAGATGTAGGGTGATGATGTTCCCTTTAGCCTGTGAGAGGTGAGGTCTCAGCTTAATGCTTGTGGGCTCTGAGCTCATTGAAGTATCCTTCTTTCTTACTGCTCATAATTAAATCCACACCTGAGCATGCTCTGTAATTTACTGCAGTAGCCTCTTCTCTCCCCCTTAGATATTCCTGTGAAATACCTTTGCCACCAAAGGCAGAACTTCTTTAATCTTTCTTCCCTCTTCATTAAATTCACAGCTTTGGTAATTTGCAGATATTGTGGAATCTGGCCCTGTTTTCCACCCTGCAGACTTGCAAGGCAACAACATCATTCAAGCACCATATGGTTCTCAACAAAGTCAGGTTTCAGATCCAACCTAAACAGTTTAATATTATCAAAAGCCTGAGCTGGCTGCAGCAATAACAACCCCTGCTTCCTCTCCCTGCATTGTGTAACCAGAGGAAGAAAGCTCTCAAACCCAGCAAGCTGCTGTGATCTTGAACAGGGGCTGCAGGGCTGGGGAAAAGCCTTTGTAGCACCTTCATTATGATCATAGGATGAGTGCCCACCTGGACCACAAAGGAAGTACAAATCCAGGCCTGGTTTCAATTAGAATGCCTTAAAAACACAGACCACATTTAGTTCCTTTTGTTGTTATATCCAATTAATTTATTTGATGTTTAGATTTTAATGAGAGAATGTTACATGCCTCCAAGATGCAGGACATGCAGTCATCTCTATAATAGTTTAATGTATATTTGGCTTTTTCTCTTTTAGAGGCTGGGATCCTAGATCCCACCAAATTTAATGCAGGTAAATATTTTCTGTCAGAGTTAATGTATTTGGCATGAGGAGGGGAGCACAGGCTGGGTGGGGACAGGGGAGCTGGGCTGAGTGTTCATTCCTCAAGCTGCACTCGTGGTACAGTGTTTGGAAAAAGCTAAGTCTTCCACTTCCTCACTTAATAGACTAAGAGGTCTCTGTAGATGATGAGTAATGCTGTGTGGAACAGATGCCAAAATGGAACAGGAGCCCTGAGACGCCTTTTGTTGCAGTACCTTGTAGCAATCAGAAATTATTTCCCTCCTTGTGCTATGATGCTATCAGCTGGCTGAGGACCTTGCACTGAGTCACAGCAATCCCAAATGGTTACAGACACCTGCACTGCATCAGGGGGGCAGCAGTCACCGTGCTGGGCACACACCCCTCCTGACCCACGTGGAAATAGGCACCCTGAGGGCTCTGGCTGCTCCTCAGCCTTCTGGCAGTGTCCAGCTTATGTCCAGCCTCTGGGTATGGGATACAGCCTGCAAAAGGGATGGGAAAGATGTTTATGCCTGTTAGGTAACAAACCTAGGAAAACTTTTCCATTTACCTGTTGGGAGCTTCTACTATTTATAGGAGAATAAGAAGAAGGTATAAGTGGTGGTTTGATGTAAAAAGAAAAAGCCATTTGCAGATTAATTAGCATTTTAAAGAGCCACAGGGGCTTTTTAGGAGAAAGCTATATGGAGCTACCAAATGAAGAGATTTATGCAGAAGCAATGATCTACAAGTGTTTTCTTGGTAGCTTTCAGGAGGGTGAACATGTTGTTAGAGGTATCAGTAATGGGGTGTCTGTTTGTTATCTGGGACAAAATAAATC